ATCTTTTGTTACGAATTATACTGACCTGTGCTGAACTGTGGTACCTTTTTGGCACTGTGTGAAGAGAAGGTCTGTTTCTAGCTTTTTATCAAATCTAAAAGACGCACACGCGGAACATTGTTTAGGACTCAGCTGGGAAATGTTTATTTTATTCCCTGTTGGCCTCGAAGCAACGAGAGTGCCTCTGCTGGTGTCTACCACAGCTCCTGGGTCTATTCGGCCTGTGTTTTGTTTAGAAATTGTACGTTCAAATTGTTTTTTGTTTTGTTTTGTTTTGCGTTTTGTTTTGTTGTTTTTTTATTTCTAAAAGAAAGGTGGGGAGGGGGCAGACTGAGGGAAGATAATGGTTTGCCCTTTGGACGCAATGTGGGTTGTTAAGGCTGTTGTTGACTGCCCTATTTTCCGATTGCATGTGGTTCAGAGCCACATACACATAAACTTTGCTCACAATTCGTGTTCAGAGACACTTGTGAAGGGATTGAACTCAGGCACTCTGCACAGTTTTCAAGGGTTCTTCCTGTTTGGAAGTTGTTACTACGTTGTGAAAAGGCTCCGTTTTGGGGTGGGTATTGATGATATGCCATGGAAAGTCGTTGCTGGTTGTTTGGTCCGTCTGTGTGTGTGTGTGTATTGTGTGTACATATAGTTGTATACTCATTATACATTTTTCTTTTTTTCCATTCGTGTTTCTTTGCAGATTATGTTTTGTTGTAGGCTTTATAAAAAAATATACAGTTTGTGTACTGATTTGGTATTTTTTTGTTGGAATTTATAATCGTGTCTAGACGGTTCTGTCGGACAGCAAAGAAAATAAATAACCGAATGCACACTCCTTTGAGTGAATTGAGACGGTTTCCCACTGCTGTTCAATTTCAAGATGTTTCATAATATGCATGGTCTCTCTGCATTTTTGTGTTAAATAAGTGCGGTGTAATTTTCAAGTTTGCAAGGGGCGACAGTGACTGGCGCTTCATATTAAAGTAATTTTCGAATCTGTTTTTCTAAGAGCGGAGGCGAAATCTTTCCACGTCAGGTCAGCGTGTAACTTCTGAAACCATTCCGACTATTTGGCATAAAATATGTTACTTTTCATGAGATTCTCGATTTCTAATGTTCTTATTTTAAAGTTTTAGAACTCAGGCGCGTGTTTTGTTTTGAAGAATGTTGTTGCCAAGTTCATTAACACTGTCGCCCCTTTAGATTTTCACTAGCTACGACGTAATAGCTGTTTAATACACCTCTTTAAGGGCTTACTCTCGTTACCTTACACATGGCGATTGTTCTGGGGAAAAAAGCTAGTCATAAACTGCTGCTGGGCTGACGTTAAAACCAGACTTAAGTTTGGCTAAATCCTGAAGGACATTACCTTGTACTGGTGCAATCAATTGTGCCAGTAGTAATAGCGTTGACCTTCTTATCAGATTGTGTAGCTTACTGCCTGTTAGGGCTGACTGCGTGTATGTGTGTGTGTGTGTGTGTGTGTGTGTGTGT